CATGTAAAACTTCCAAAGTCCAAACATCCGATGTACAGGGGACTCTAAACAGCAGTGACTTAAAAATAAGTCGCAAAGTCAAAGCCTCGGCGAACGATGCCAGCTTCCGGACAAACGCGAAAGAAACGAGAAATAGGTTGAAAGAAGGGGAAGCGGCGTGAAGGGAAAAGGGAGGTAAAACAGTCTAGAGAAGAAGAAGCGGCAAGATCGAGTTCCCGCGCTCCACCATGGTGTCGGTAGACGCGAACGAGCCTTGGCACTCCTCCAATGCTGGTTGGCTGGTCCGCGACATGCATCACGGCAGGCGTCTGATGCATCCTGCGCATCCAGACGCGACGTGCACGGGCACAAGGGGGAAAAGCGAACGCCTCCGAGAGTGCAAGGGTCTTGGCCGTGTGTCTGGAGGTGGCTGAAGGTGGTTAAAGCCTCGTCGGACCGTGCATCACAGGCCACTGTCTCTAGCAGATCGACCTGGCTCTCGCGCGCCGCGTTTGCACATGGTACACGCGTTAGCCTAACCTTGCCTCGTGGTTTCCTCTGGCTACATGGAAACGGGACACACGTGCGTTTTCGAGAGAGAGAGGATTCTCGATTACCAACGTCTGTACGGCGCACAGGTGTAACGTGCACGATTTGCGAATGAACACGTTTAACGCGACGAATTCGATGTCACGATGCTTGCCTACAATTAAGCCACCTTGTAACAGGCTCGTTATATCGTGGTAATTACACGATGGTATCACTTCTGTGAGAAGTAATCTGGCTTCGGTTGCATCCTCTTACGCTTACCCACACACACCGTGGCTCGCCTACTTTCCCTCGTCAGCGGTAATTTGATTACGTCCTTCCGACGGCAGACCGGTCCATTTTCAGTTGTTAATATTCGTAATGGCAGGCGCGCAATCCGGCGTAATGCGGCCCTCGAAACGTTAATTTACGGTAATGTGTCCGGGGCACGTGAGATGCGCGCCGTGGGCTCGCGCAACTTTGCCTTCACGAGGCCGCGCAACTCTTTGCCTCGAGAGGCGCCGCTCGAGGAACCGTGTTAAAAGGCACCGACTCCGACGTACAATTCGGCCAAAGGAGCTTTCAATTCCGCGCTCTTATATGTTCATCGCTGTTCGTTTGTTTTTTTGTTTTTTCGTACGAGGACTTGCTCCTTCTCGCTTCAAATTTCCTTCCAATTTTCTTCAAAGATGAGACAAAGTAAGATAAATTCTTGACTTCGTTTTTGGAAATTGATTAACACGTTGACTGCCACGGTGGTCATCAGTGACCACCAAAGAAGGGCATCGAATGTTTAGAGTAATTGAAATAAAATGAATGTAACGTGGTAGCTAACTAGACGTTACTTTGAATTTTAAAAAATAACAATAAAGCATAATATGATACTATACTTCTGGTCCCCTGAGCAAGGCATGTAAATCTTTCGTGGCATAAAGCTTGTATGTGCGTCGCAGCATCGGCAGTTTATTAGCGACGATTAAACGACGCGGAGGAACTTCACTCGTTCAAGTCCAAGTCGAATGTGTATAAAGTGGACTGCGATGTGAATACTTGTGTGTTAGACTACGAAGTGAATACTTGAGTCGTAAGCAACGATCTCCTTCTTAAAATTTAAGTAACGCCCTTTAGCCAGCCTTTCTCAGAGCGGGGGTGAGGGCACTGTCTAAGTATGGGGGGTTTCTCGAAGGTTCGATGGGTCGCGGAAAATTCCTCCAGGTCGACTCTTAACTACAAGGACCGTTATACACATGTTTTAGCCGACCTTTCGGAAATACCGAGTTTATGACCTGGTCGGTTATTAAGACGAACGAAACGAAATTCTAAAGCTATTGTGTAAAAACTACTACTATCGCGAAGGCACAAGAAAAATAAACTGTCTGTCACGTCCATGTCATAAACTACCCTTCGAGAATCTTTAATTACGGTGTTCCGTATCGGACGGAACAAAGTTGCTTATTGAAAAAGAGACCGTCGCAAATAGTGTATATTCCTCGACAACGAGCAGTCCAGAAAAATTCGCAGCTCTTAAAATCCGATAAGTCCAAGCCAGCAGTTAAAGCAGTCGTTGAACGAAGTCGTAAGTTGCGCGGGATTGCGTTGTAAAATGGAAATTCCGCGCGACCGCTGATGAGAGATAGCTCTGTAAATCCGAAAGTGCGTCTCAGGGCGAGAAGAACTAACTTTAGAGCATGTGTTTCATTCACGAGGTCTATTAACGGCACTTTTACTACCGACAATGAGAACGAGTCTCCTCTCTCGAAATACGGATACGCCAAGTTTCGTTCTGAACATGCTCTGCACAAGTACCGTACATCATAAACACACGATACGTCAATTACAACATCCTGCCACTATGGAACTCATCAGCGCGACCTAGCTCGACGTATTACCCAGCCCGAATCGATACATTCTGCCCCTGGGTTCGCACACCCTAATGATTCACCGATAAATAACTCCCAGTGTCTTCCATGTGCGATCATCCTCTGCACTCGGTATTCACCGTGATAACCATCCTCTGCTTTGTATTAATAGTATCGAGTCGCACTCGTCACGTATACGTTATCAGGGAAATAGGAAGCTAGAGGATTGTGTGGTTTGGCGGTTGAGTGTGGAAGGAGGAAATAATTTGAGAGGGAATAGGTGGGAGAAGGAAGGGAGAAATGGATTTATTTTATCCTCAGACTCTCGATGGACTCTTCGGTAATGTAGAATCGCGAGCGTTGCGGCCTTCGTTCGTTCGTTTCTTGAGAAAATTTTTAAAAAAGTAAGAGCGTGGAATGAGAGTCAGTGTAAGATTTGGATGAGAGGAGACCTTGAGTAGAAAGCGTGGAAACAGTTTGTGTGCTTAATAAATGATTGTAGGAATCCGCGAACCTCAAGACTGGCAAGCCGAGCCTTTGCACTCAACAACTCCCTCTCTATTTTCCCTCGTCGGTTCCCTATTCGGGTACGGAGGCCCCGATACTTTCCCGAACCTCCATCACAAGTCCCAAATCCCACAGTAATGTAAGGGCTGTCTGGTCTAAATAATACTTGTCAGGATTTATTTAAACAGATGTTGAAACTATATTTATTTGTCCGTCCGTCGTTGACGCCTCGTTCCTTTCTTGTCCCTCTTTACCAACTACACGTTTCTTAATAATCCTTCTAATATATTCCGCTTAGTCTTATTCAACGCGTCCTTATATACGAGCCTTGACTTACCTGACCCAGCCCTTAGCGCGTGGGGGTGTCAAGGCGTTGGGACTGGGTTCCTCCGCAGATCTCTCGGTCATAAACCCGCGCGAGTCCCAACACTCGCCCGACCATACTCTTACAGCAATTACTCTAGTTTCCCTTCATCTCACTCTACAGTAATGCTACCTAAGAGACCGGTGTCACACGCGAGGGACACTTAGTCCAGTGAGAAGGTTAATATTTCCATCTCACGACGTAGCATAGAAAATACAATCTCTACGTAATTCTCGGAAAACTTGGCAAAGGAAGTTCCTTACCTTTCGACTGGACTCTCCACGACACAGTTCCCATAGGAGACACAGGGCTAGCGAGGAGATTCCTGTTTCCTTGGCGAGAGTGGCCAGGGTTGACGACACCAGAGCCAAGATCAGAGGGAACGGCGACCTGGTGCGTTCACAGTGTGCACTGTATGCCAGGAACGCCGACAAGGTCAACAGACAAGCGAGAAGATCAGCTCGGCCAACTACGCCGGCCACCGCCTCGCTGTGAATCGGATGTGCAGCGAACAGGAAGCCGGAGATCGCGTGGCCGAGGTTGTTTCTTCCCGGCAGTACCTGCAACGTCAGAGATCCTCGTTCAATCTTTGCACAATGGCGCGGCCGGATCGTGTGTTTCTCGCTCATTGTCCAAGAGGTGGTGCGCGTTTTAGCGCAGTCTTTATAGCAGGGGACAATGAACCGGGGCTCTTCGCGGAGAATGGGAAACGAGGCCGGCCTAACTGCTCTTCGGCAATTTCTGTTAATCTGTTAAACGGGCTCCGCCACAGAGGGCAGGCCTCTTCTTTTTTACTCCAGTTCCCCTAATCTTCAATCTCTTTTAATTTGTATAGGGAACTCTTAATTCCTTGTCTTAAAATAACAAGACACTTATGGCAAAGGTTACGGTCAAGATGCTTGTTCGACCGGACGCGAATGTTTCGAGTTGCGCTAGCGGCAAATTAACCCCTTAACCTATGATTTCCTTTCTGACCGTGCATCTAAGCGTCAGCCATTTGCAATTTTAGTACTGTATCAGGTAACGAAAACTAATCCGTTACAGATTAATTACGTTTAGTAATCCTCAGTTTTACGAATTCAAACGAAAGTTAGGATTACAATGAATTTTTCTCACATTTTGACCAGAATCTCTGCCTCGAGTCTGACACGTTGTTATAGGTTAAGGGGTTAATGGCGCGAGGGCTGCTCTCTAGGTTGAGGATGAATTGGCGAATGGTGATATTAGGTTTAACTATAACATATTCGCGGTGTATAATTTTTGATGTATCTTCGCGGTGCGTTTGATGACGAGTTCTTTTTTTTTAGGATTACTGGTGTACTGGTCTGGTTTATTGTCTTGGCGCATGTGGTGTTCAGGTGCGCGAGTCTTTGAGATTTTTAGCGTAATAAAGTACTTCATGGGTTACGCCGGCTAAGACTGCTTTGTTCAAGTACCGTTTCCTACAGAAAAAGGGCGACGTGACAAAGGAAAAATTGTTTCTATTAGTTTGTTTTGTTGGTCCAACTTCAGCTAGCACTTGAGAATTTTGTACGATATTTTTAAAGAATCGCGAAACGAGGAGTATCTTTCGAGGATTCTTGCTTTACTCTTCGGATGCACGGTTAACGTTGACAACGACACGCGTAATTTGGATAATTATAACGCAGTTTAAATTGCATCGAAGTATGTTATAAACTTACACGCAGAATACTGATTTCGCGGCGTGTTTCCATTAGCTCGACGCTGTATACAGACCGAAGGACTGCGAACGACTGCGGCGAACTTGGGCAAGGCGGCTCGGTGTTTATGTACATAGGCCTCGCGCGGTAGAGTTATAAATGTATAGTATACAGGGTGTATCTAGTAACTAGGCATGATTGTAACTTCGTTCCTTTCGCAGGTAGAAAAAAATTGTGGAGGAACGTTTTGCATTGTTCGACAAGCTCTATCGTTGAGTACTTGCAAAGTGCAATTCACCCGTTTTTTAAATGGAACCTTGCAAAAATTTTTACATTAACCCATTTGCATCGTTTGAAAAAAATGCAGAATAGGTCCCTAATACGAAATTTAAGTGGTCTGCGATTGTTCACTATACGAATTCGGTGATAGTGACCAGAAGTCGTGCAGCACCGGCCACTCTAGGTTTTTGTACTACAACTTGGGCTAATGTTGGTAAAAATGAAATTTCAAAAGTAATTTCAAGTACAAAGGGTGCTTAATAAAGGGGGACAAATGGCTTTTCTTAAATTCTCTCATAAAGATAAATAATTGGTAGAAATAAAAAAGTTGTAATTTGCAGCGAACGAAAAATTGTCGTACAGTACCGGCCAGCTACTTAGTTGGCAGATTTGAAGGTCCAAGTAAATAAATAATGTTAGTAAAAAATATTTAAAAATAGAATAGAATCGTTCTTGATCCGCACACTCCACGTGAGCCCAACCATTGCATCTATGAAAAGTAACTTTTGTCGCACGGAACGTCTTAGAACTCTGGTAATACCGAAGAAAAAAGAACGTTCCCGGAATACGTTTTTCCATCAGTAGTGCAATCAACTAACAGTATAAGCGAGATCTAGCTTTGGCCGGTACTGCACGACTCTCCCCTATATATCCTCTAACGATGCAAAAGGGTTGATCGACTGCCAATCCCGTTAATTCCGAACAAACGCCCTGCATCCATACAAAGGAGCGTGATCATGCAGTCAAATTTCTCCACTTGTCACGCGTTCGCGTCGTAAACCCGGTTTTACTAAGAAACAGTCTGCTTAATTGCCGTGCTATTCAAATGAATTTCTCCCGAACGGAAAAACCCGTCTGGCCGGTAGGAAATTTTCACGTGGAAAACGTTCCCCGACTTTTTTTTTTCTCCGCCTGTTCAATATTCCCTGTACACGGTGACGCTAAAAACGATTTCAGTTATCCAGGAAAACGAGCCGGGGACAATGGCTGCACGGCCGGCGTGTATTATTTGACGGGGATTGAAACAGGCGAAAGCACGAAACGGAACCGAAGCTCTTGGAAACGAAACAACGGATTTCCCCTGGTAATCCCATTTCCATTACGATAACCGTGGCAGGTGACATGCGTGGCCGTCAAGGGAGGTGGCAGCGTGCCGCGCGGCACACACACGATTATTAACGTAATATCCTGGAATTAAATGGACTGGTAAAATTTTATTTCTAACCGGTCGCCGTAACGTCTGGTATTATCAAGTCCGCGTGACGTACGCTCTACAGGTGTCACTATTATCTCGTTTTCTGCCGCACTGACGTAAAATCTGGCGGTGGAAACGAGCAGCACAACGAGCGTTAATCGAAAAGCACAGACGAAACCGCGTGAATCTGTTCTCCGCCATCGCATACACTTCTCGTCCTACACCTCCTCATCTACCACTAGCACCACCTACTACTCCAGCCTGAATCAGTTTCTTGTTTGAATAACCGATAAATTCCAACAATACCTGCTGCCCGGCCCCATTTTAATTAACGTTATTATCCGCTCGAGAGCTTTACCTTTCTGGCGACCCTGACCACGAGTATGGTACAGGCAGCGTGGAGGGCCACGTTCACTAGATGATAACCCCACGGTTCTAAACCTCCGAGAAGATGATTCAGACGAAATGTAGCTACACAGAGAGGTCTGTAGCTACCGTGGGAGCCTCGATCGTGGAGAGGTGTGCCCCAGAAGTCGTTCTCCAGCAGCCGGGACCACGGCGTGCTGGATAGCAGGTCGGGATTCGTCAGGATTGCTCTTCTGCAACAGAACATTTTAATTACGTTAGCGTTGCGTTCATGCTGTCTGCGTCTTGAAACTTTGTACACCGGCAAGATTTCGGGTTGAACGTTAGGAGAGATGCAGGAAGATGCGAAGTTTTCTTACAACATTTTTTTGTAACGAAAGTTTCTTCTCTAGAAAGATTCTTCGCTTAAATCGAATCGGTTCAAATTGGTCCATGAGAGTGAAAGAGTTGAAGAGTTAAAAATATATATTTTTACGAAAAGGAAATAACATGTTTGGAAGTGACGTGGTGCAAATGATTACTCGCAAAGAGGGTAACAAAAATATATTTATTCAACCAATAATACTTAAACTAATTATACGATGCGCGTAGAAAGGAAGTCTACGACCAAAGGCATCGTGTCTTTTTCGGGGCTCCCTTAAGTAGCCTCTTTTTCCCTGGGAAAGTCCCAGGAAGTGGGGGCGCGGGCCTGCATTGCGATACTCTTGCCCTCGAGGACGAAGAGACCCAGAGATGTTCGCCTCGAGGGCCAAGAGTCGCCAGGCCTAGGTACGTAGGCTCCCCGTGGCGGTCCCCACACGATTAATTTTGTAAGTTCTTTTGTAAATACAGAAAATAGACAAAAATTTTTCTACGAATAGCCGAATGATACAATTTTTTGCCGGAAAAATGTGTCGAATTGACACGAGGGACGGACGAGGGTCAGCAGAGAAGCTTCTCGTTCGAGTCGCGAAACTGTCGAACCTTAAAACCGAATCCTCCGCCGAGTGTTTCTAACGATATTCGAATTTTCTCCGGAGGATCGTCGGAAAAATGGACGGGGAGCGAGTGTGTGCGTAGCGGCGTACGATAACATCGTCGGACAGTAATGAAACGTGGACACCGATGGACTATTGTTAGCTATCAAACGATGGAATTCGATATATTATTGTGGTGGACGTACAATTAATTAACGCGAGCCCAGGTGGGACACGGTGAACGATCATAGAGAGTGAATATGGGAGGTCGGTCTCTCATATTGTTTGATCATTAGCCTCGTTAATTATTGGCTCGGCTACATTCCTCTTCGGCTTTGTTGCGTCACAGAGGCCCGGTTCTCTGTCGGCCGGATAGGCGAGTGTAAAGGCGCATCCGTCATTGTTGTCGTCAATGGTCAACGAGGCCGGTTTACGCGCGCGGAAAAACTGTGAGCGCAACGATCGCGGCGAGAAAAAGAAAAAGAGGGAAAACGTCGCGAGAAATAACGAGTACGAAACATTGTTCCGCGGTTACGCGTACGCCTAGTCGAATCCTGTGCGTTCCTTCTTAGCTCGGTAATGTGAGGCGGTCGCCGCAAATCCAAATATATTAAATGGGAGTGAAAGAACTAAAAATATACATTTTTACGAAAAGGAGATAAGATCTAAATGTATGAAATGGGAGTGAAAGGGTTAAAAATATACATTTTTACAAAAAAAGAAATAAACTCTAAATGCAGTCCTTTTCGTCCATTTTCCAGCCCACTGCCCCGAGTATTTAATATCGCAATCAATAACGAAACTTGGTTCGCCAATTGCCTCCTCTGTTTCGCAACAAAATTTCTTTAACAAAGTTTCCAAACGCGTTAGGATGTAACGGATAGCAAACTTAACCCGCTATAAACAAGGTTCACTCCTCGCCCAGGAAATTTAATATCTCGAGGATCCTCCGTTGGTATACTTTAACTAACACGCTACACAGGATACAGATTTCAAAGATAAAAGAAAAGCGGCGACACTCTTGCATGGGATAAATTGTGCACTCTGTTAATCGTCGTTCCGTTTAAACTCGGGAAAAATTATGCAAGCAACGCGGGATGATTTTGAGAGGATCGCGGTTGGTAGCAGTGACAACGAACACCGCGGCATTTTAATCGAGCGACTCGATAGATATTCATGAGCGCCGCGGTGTTTCAGCTTGTCTCGAGACTGCGATACCGCAGGCGACGCACCTGAGCCATCCTCGTCGTCAGGGAAATGGAAGCACGGCTCGACGAACACCGGGCCAATAATTTCGAATTCCACGGCCCTCCAATAAGCCGCCGCCACCCCCGCGAGGATCGTGTCGCATTTTCTACGTGAGCTCGCGATCAAAACAACCACCGGTGACAATCGCAACCGTACAGCTTCGATTCTTTCCCCGTGAAATTTCGATGGAACACCTGTCCTCGCGTGTCGGTATCTCAACGGGAAATCAAATCGACCGATCGAACGGCGCACAAACAAATTCGGACCCTCTTTAGAACAGTACAACTTTTTAAAAATTGGACCAAACGGCTTGACGTGTGCAAAAAATTTTGAAAAAATTGCAATATTCTTACACCTCCGAGAAACCCTGGCGCAGGTTGGGGGTTTCCTCAGAGCAAGGCCCGCGTCGCTGGGTCCTTACCTGACCCAGCCCTTATCGCGTGGGGGAGTCAGGCGTTGGGACCGAGAGGTCTGCGGGTCATAAACCGGCTCGAGTCCCTACCTTCACTCTACCATATTCTTACACTTTGACGTATTACCTGCGCACAAGCTGTTTGTTCCAGTAAGCAAAAGTAATTGGTTTCGTCGTAGTTGTAAATTCATAAAGCCGAATACAACGGCAGTTGAACGTGGTTTGTGTTTATTTTATAATCTGCATTCGGCGGACATTTGCCTCTCAAATTACAAGCACGTTCCCGGAACGTACATCATGTGGACAATATTCCTAAAATTATTCAAATCATTTTTCTTTCAAGAAATTTCTCTATACAGGTGACTTCAAAGTAGGTATTCTAATCTAATCTAAATTTAACATTCCTCTCTTTGTCGTGTTTTACTTTTACATTTGTTTTTTTAAATTGCTACCTCTTGCACGAGTAATTCCGCCATTTTTTCCTCGTCATTTCGCGCGATTGTTTAGTTAATAGTACACGCGCAATTCGGAAAGTTTCTCCGCGCTAGTTTACCGTAAGTTTCCGGGGAGAACGCGAGGACTGATCGTCGCAACGTCGGTGCCGCGAGATTTACGATCTCGGAAAATTCGTTAGAATTCGGAACAATTGTACGTTGCGACGGTGCTGCACGGAGTTCCCTCGATTTCCACCGGCTGAAACGGCCGACACATTTATACGAGCGGCCGGATGGCACGTAAACTTTCTCTCCCGTCGCTGTTTATTTCAATTTCCGGAAGCCCGGCAGGCGGGTGCGCGCAAATTTGCAAAAGAAACACACCGCGGTGGTGTGCACAGCGAAAGCCCCTTTTCATATTGGAACGCGCCAACGCCACATCCTTTTTCGTTATATTGTTGCCTTCGTTAACATCGATTGATCCCCCCGCGAGTGTGAAACATTTACCACCCCAGCACACATCTGCCAATGTCAATGTTTAATGAGAATTCTCTAGCCGCGGAAGATAAAGGGTGCCCTCGTACGTGTCGATAAAATTCCGATTTCGTCCTTCTTATCTGTGTTAGTCGTTCAGAATCCAACTTCTGTAATCGTAAAGCTTTGTGGCGGCCCATGCAGCGCGCACGGCGCCACATTGTAAGCACCAACGAGACTGCGAGACGCACGCAACGAACGTGTCTTTCGTCGATGTCGCGGCGGGCCGAAATGGATGGCTGTCCTCGGAAAGCGGGGAGACACTTGAGATCCGTTCCGAGGGCAGCCAGGGTCCCGGTGTTTGAAGGACGGTAACTGTGGGCGATTGTGACTTCGTTAATTCAACGGCGTGTTGAAACAACGCGACGAAACGATGTCTGTTCTATAGATATATTTGGTGATAATATTTGTCGAACGCGAGCTATTCAAACTATAAACAGCCCTGTGTGAGGAAATATTTTTTTCACACTCCGTAGGCAAATTGGCTCGTTTATGAAACAGTCTAATTACTTTGCCGTTCTAGGTTTTGAAACTGCGTGGAAAAATTCTGGGTTGGTTGACAATGACGATAACTGTGTTGTAGGATTGTTTGTTGGGCGGACTGTTTGGAA